ATGCTGGAAATCTGAGACAAATACAGAAGGCGCTGGGAACACTCAGCAGGTCAGGCAGCATCTATGGAGAAAGGAAAGTGTGTCAACGTTTCCAGTCCACAACCCTTCATCAGAACTGGGGCATGTTGCGAGGGAGAGGCTTTTAAGGGTTGGTTGAGAGGGGGGAGGCAGGACAAGGAAGACAGAGGAGAAAATGGGGAAGATGACAGGGATGATGGGTTAAAGAGGTGTTAATAATACAAAACAAAAAGGGTGAGGGGGTGGTGGCGGGAGGTCAAGATTGCAACAAAATAGACAGACCAGAGAGGGAAAAGGTGTGTCTGGGATCCAGATGATGTGGTAATGGTCACAGAAGAGGGGGAGGGGGAAGGTGATCTGTTATGGGGGAAGTGATTATTATTATTATTATATGTTAATGCCTTTTGTGATCACTTTAGGTTTTGTTCCCTCTAGATCCTGACATCCAACCAGTGGAAGGTAATTTATCACCTTTGTAACAGGCTGACTGTAGTGGGCATTAAAGTAGCTGGACGAGCAGCCAAAAAGCTTGCCAGACAGTACTTTCAGTGGCAAGCTATGCGGTTTAAGATGGTTAAACTCATTCTGTATACGGTTTAAGCAATTACCCTAAGCATGGTCTGGACACCACGTGTAGTGAATTTTGAAGGCAAAAAAATCATGCTTATTGACAGAGCTAACCTGAAGCTATGTTCGATGCTAAGAGAAGAGATACCCAGAGTTAGTAAGTGCAACAGGATACCTAAATGCAAGAAAGTGTTGAGCAAATTGCCTGGAAAAGGCGTTGTCTAACAAGTGACATGATTAGAGAACAATCTAAATGCAATTTCAGATTACCTTTAAACTGCCGGAGGACAATGGCACAGATATGCAGGGATGGACTTAATCAGTTTAAAGCTTTATTAATGCACGCTGCACACATTCACTGCTGCAATTTGACCTCTCGTCTGTTATCTGGTGATCAACGTATTCAAGTGTGTATGGTTTGGGTTTAATACAATAACAAAAACAAGATTTCAATAGGTGTTGGCATTGACCCCACAAGCATGACTGGGGCTCCCCACTACAGCCACCAATGGAGAAACTACTCAGAGCCAATCTCTACCGTTTCTAGCCTTCTAAGACCCTCCCTCACTTTCCTCCCTTGTCTCCGTCAAGGCCCATCTCAAGACCCTCTTCTTCAACCAAGCCTTCAGCCATGCTCCTACCCATACCCTTCCTGCCCCCTTGCCTCCTGATCTCAACCCACAATAAATGTGAATCAGGAGGGGTGGAGGGCAGGAATACACTAAATTTGTATTGTACTGCTACATATGCCAACAAAACCCACAGTCACTGCATTTTACAGTACATCCCGTCAAGCAATTTGGGGTCTCCTGACCTAAAAAGCACTACATCAAAAGATTATATTTAATGCACCTTGTGATCAGGTGCTTCCCGAGCAGAAACATAGGAACAGGAGTAGGCCATTCAGCCCCTCAAGCCTGTTCCGCCATTCTGTTAGATCATGGCTGATTTGTACCTCAACTCCAATTACCGGCCTTTGCCCCGTATCCCTTGATACCCTGACCTCACAAACATCAATCCACCTCAGCCTTGAAAATTTGAATGGAGCTTTTTGGGGAGAGAGTTCCATAAATTCAGAGACGCAGAGGGAGAGACGTTAAAAAGCCGCTTCCTTTAGAAGGAAGCTAAAAATAAGTCGGAGCTGCGACTTTATCATCACGCAGCTTCTGAGCATTTTTAATATTGTAAAAATTTTTATGATGGAGTTATACATTGAGAAATTGATTTTTTTTTACAACGGCCTTACTTTGCATGTGCTAAGTGGACGCATTTATTTTTATCGTGCGATTTATGGGGAGTTTATAATCCGCAATTGCACTTTTTTATACATTCTGTTAAAAATGGTTTAATTTTTGAAATTCTTGACGTATGAGGGGAAAAATACTCAGCATTTTTGTATAGCTATTTTTTAAACTTGTCAATCCTCCTCATACACAATTATACAGTGTACATTTGCACAGCGCCTTTCACGTAGGGTGGACATCTCAAAGCGCTCGACAGTGCTGGCTGGGCACCCGAGTCGGGTGGGACCCGGGGTGCGAGGTGGGGGAAGGGGAATTTTTTTTGGGGTTAGATAGGTGTCTGACACATGAAGCCCATTTCCATGCTTAAGAGTATCCAAACCAAGCTGAGAATACCATGCATCCCACCTACATATAGAAATCCCAGAGATAAATCATTGGAATGGAATGCACACTCTCTCCCTGGAGGGACACATCCTGCTGACCTAATTCCAGAAAGTATTAGGCGCAGGTTGGCCAAGGCTTGGGGTTCCCAGATTGTGTGTTGAGTACTCCTAAAGTCTAACCAGCTAAAACTGCGTAGCTTGCCTGGGAGGGGAAAGATGACCGAAAGCGCGATCAAAGAGGTACGTTTCCTGACAGACCTTGAACAAGGGGAGGGAGGAAGTAAGAGTCCCAGAGAGCAGGGGCAGAATGGCTGACAGCCTGCCCACCAATGATAGGGTGAAAGGCCAGGTGAAGTGAAGCAGGCCAGTGCTCGCTGAGTGAAGGGAGCAGCTGGGTCAGTAGGGTTTGAGGAGGTCGCCGAGGTAGGGTGGGGCATGACCATGGATGGATTTGAATGTGAGAATGAGGATCTTTTGAACTCAATTCTCTGGGGGTTGAGGAGCCAGTGGAGCTCCGTCAATAGTATTCCCTTGGATATCCATTGAACAAGATCTTCCCTAATACTACAGAGGAAAGATGGAGGTGAGGGGAGCGGTGGAGTGGCGAGAGAGAAGGAGTTTTTCCTTTGCTTGCCAGAACAATTATTGTAAACATGACTTATTCTCCTCTCGTTAAATAAATCAGGCCCTGTGAGACCACCAGTCCCTGGAGTCCTGTAGCTCAGTGGTTAGAGCGCTCGCTTTGCAAGCGAGAGACCTGGGTTCAATTCCCGGCAGGGCAAAACCTTGGCCAAGTTTCCTTACTCCACACGCCTGATAATAATCCCTCAAAAAAAATGAGTTAGTCATTTCAATCCTCGACTGTTTATGGGATGCTGCTCTGCGCAATTGGCTGCCTCATTTCGCCTACAAATATACAGTCAATTCACTTTACAGTCTATTCTGTGAAGTGCTTTGAGACGTCTAGAAGACGTGAAAAGCGTTATATCAAATGCAAGGATTATGATTATTATTATTATATAACATGTTAATTCCAGGTCCTGTCTGTCAGGTGGATGTTACGTATTCCATGACTCTATTCAAAAAGAGACAGGAGTTTCTCCTCGTGTCCTGGTCAACATTCCCTCAATTAAAATTGGTCACTCACTTCACAGTTGTTTATGGGACATCACTCTGCGCAAACTGACTGCACAATGACCTACAAATAGGCAACAAGAACAACACATTACATTTATATCCTGCCTTTTACGTCGGAAGGACATCCAAAAGCACTGGATAATTAAGGCTTTGCACCTGATGCTGGGGTTGGAATCAGTGAGTCACTACTTTACAGTATATGTGTGAATTGTCTTGAGATTTCCTCCTCATATGAAAGGTACTTTATAAAATGAAGCACTGATTTCAAATTAGGTATTTTTGTCCAGGACACCGGGAGAAACTCCCTTTTCTTTTTGAATCATGCCACAGGATCTTTAACATCCACCTGAACTGGCGTACAGAGGCTTAGTTTCACGTCACATCCAAAGGACGGCACCTTTGAATATGCAGAGCTTCCCTCAACACTATTGTTGCAGGTGGAGTCCTGTAGCTTGGCGGTTAGAGGACTCGCCTCACAAATGAAAGGACCTGGGTTCAATTCCCGGGCAGTGTGAAACGATGGGCAAATACATGTCTCTCTGTTCACCTAGCAGTGGGTAGGAACCCAGTTTTTAGTGGATTGGTGGATTGCTTTTCTGTCGATAATAAACCCTTCAAAAATAAAAAAATAAAAATAATAATTTGGTCACACAATCCACGACTGTTTGTGAGACAATGCTGTTCGCAATTGGCTGCCGCATTTTGCCTACAGAATATACAGTCAAATCACTTCACGGTACCCACAACCTTCTGACTCAGAGGCGAGAGTGCTTCCAGGCTGACAGCTAAACAGTCCCAAAGAGAGAGGAAAATATCCTTGAAAGTTAAGCTGGCTCAAAAAAGAAAACACTAACGTCACCAGGCTTCTCAATGCTCTAGAGTAAATAAATACAATTAACCTTTGTGCAGCATTGACTGAGATGAGCTTGTTGGGTTTGCTTTGGCTCCTTCAACAGTTTGCTTGCACACAAAGCCATTTGTCATGGAATGAATAAATCTAAATTATTCCGACCGATCCACGCTTTACAGACAGTGAGCGCTCACACTGGCCAATGAAGAGAGAGAGAAAGCTTTGCTTTAGCTTTTGGTTAAGCGCTCCGAGACGCAGTCTGGTGCGAAGGGCGCTATATAAATGCAAGTTGTTGTTTTACATTTTTGGGCAGCGCGGTGTCTTGACACGTACGGAAACCCATCACCGTGCTTAAAAGTATCCAAACCTAACTCCTGAGAGTTCCACACATGTGGGTCACCTACACAGTTGGTCACTCATTTCACGGCTGTGTGTGGGACATTGTTTGCAAATTGGCTGCCTACAAATTGGTTCCCCCAGAAAATTCCACAGTCACTGTGCTTTACGGAGAAGGGTTCTGGGGTGATTGTTGATGTTATTATAAGAATATAATATAGTTACCATCACTATATTGCTCACAATACACAAAATCCTAAACTTAACCCTAATCCACTTTACAGTATATCCTATGAAGCGTCTGAAACGTCTTCCTGCTGTGAAAGGCGCCATATCAAATGTATTTACTGTAACAAATGTGAGGATTATTAGTAGCAGTAGTAAGTTTAATAGTGAAAATTAACAGCTGGAGTCACTGTTGATCAATTTGTTGCTGACCACTTCATCCCTTCCTCTTGTTCCCAGGCTTGGACTGTGAGCTCAGGCCCTGTGAGACCACCAGCCCCTGTGAGAATGGAGCGGCCTGTGTGGAGGAGACTGACCTCTCCTCCTTCCCCCACGGATTCCGCTGCCTGTGTACCAGGGGCTTCACCGGACCTCGCTGCGAGATCAACGTGAATGACTGTAGGCCCAACCCCTGCCTCCATGGATTCTGTTACGATGGTGAGTGACTGCAGAGAGTTTGGTGCAAGGGAGATAATTGATGCAATTTAGGCACTCACGTGTGTGTGTGTGTGGGTGTACATGTTCGGATTTGTGTGGGTGTGTGTGCATGTTTTGTGTGTGTGGCTTTATGTGTGTGTGTCTATGTGTTTGAATAAGTGTATGTTTGTTTGTGTTTGTCTGAGTATGTTTTTGTGTGCTTATGTGTGTGTGAGTGTGTGTGTGTGTTTGCTTGTGTGTATATGTTTATGAATGTGTGTGTTTGTGTGCGAGGGTGTGTGTGTTTGTGCGTGTATGTTTGTGTGTGTGTGTTTGTGTGTGCATATGTTTGTGAGTCACATACTAAGTTGTCCAAACCTTGGTCTCTGGCCAACCTACACCTAACACGAAGAAACAGAGTGACAAATGTGACCATCGAGGTCAAAGAGGTAGATTTCCAGGTGTGATTTAAGGACAGATAGAGTGAGATAGAGCGAGAAGGAAGTGATAGAGGCAGGGGAGTTCCAGAGGTAAGAGACATAGTGACTGAAGGCTCAACCATCAATGGGTGATCTTCACTTCTGCCTGACAGTGATGCCCATGTTCGGCAGGAACCAAGGCTTTTCCCTTTGCAAATGGAGAAACGTGTCTCTTTTTGAGCTTTTAATGAGAATGATAGCAGGAATTAAGCGCAGAGTAGCGGAGTAGATTAGGTGGTAAATCTTAGAGATAATGAAGAATCCAGGGACCCACTCTAGATCGCAATAAATCAGTTTGTTTAAAAAAAAACACAATTACTGCTGTCAGCGGCAACAAATGTAGTAGCTACACTGGTCTGGACGCAATGTATGCCCCGCAACCTCTTTTTTGTTTGCAGTTGTTTATGATAAATTAGGGAGAAGGACTGCCATTATTAGCCCCACGATATTATGACAAAGCGGATCTGGAATCAGCACATTCCTTCCACTGAGTTTAAATAACAACGCTGTCTGTTTCCTCTGAAAGAATGTTAATTAGAAAGCAACCCCACGCTGGGCTGCAAATACGTTCAATAACTCAATTTTATTCTCTCTGTTTCTCTCCCTATTACTTTGTCTCTTTCAGTCTCTTTCTCTCTGTGTTTCTTGCTCTCTCTGTCACTCTCTCTCTCAGTTTCTTTCTCTCTCTCAATCTTGGGCTGCGTCCCTCTCTTGCCCTCTTTGCTCTCTATCTGTCTCCAAAAAATAAAATAAAAATGAAATAATTTGGTCACTCAATCCCTGACTGTTGTGTGCAATTGGCGACTGCATTTCACCTCAAAACATAGTCAATTCACTTTACAGTATATTCTGTCTAGCGCTTTGAGATGTCTAGAGGACGTAATAAGGCGCTATATCAAATGCAAGGATCATTATTAGTTCTCTCTCAATTTCTCGCAATCTTTCTCTCACTGCAATTCCTCTTACTTTCTGTCTCATTTCTTGTTCTCTCCCGATGTCCCCCTCTATCTTTCTATCTACCTCACTGTTACTATTTCTATCTGTCTACGTGTCTGTTTCTTTCTGTCCCCTTCTCTGTCTCTCTTTCTCTCTGTCCGTGAGTGTGTATCTTTGGATTTGTCTCCCTCTATCTGTCTTTCACTTTCTCTCTCATCTTAGTTCTCTGTCTCTGACACACTCTCATTCCCTCTCCCCTATCTCTCTTTCTCTCTCTCTCTGTCTCTGCCTCTCTCTCCCCCAGTCTCTATCTTTCTGGCTGTCCCTCTCTCTCTGTCACACTCACTCTCTCCTCTCTTTGTGTTGCAGTAGTGGATGGGTTTTACTGCCTGTGCAGCCCGGGCTTCGCTGGAGTGAGATGCGACCAGAACATTGATGACTGCGTCAAGAATTCATGTGAAAACAACTCCACGTGTGTAGATCTCCATCTGGTTAGTTTTTTTTGGCAGGTTTCTCTGCACCTAAAGATTGAATTTACACCTCACTGACCTAACCAGCAGGACACTTCCCAGTCACATCATCGTTGACAAGAGAGCCAGTAATGAGAGGACTTGTTACACACAACAGCAAACAGTTTCGAATAATAATAATGTGAGCAGACACAAAGAAAAAATTGTTGCCATATGAATTGGTTGACTTATATTGCTTATATTGCTTATTGAGCCGTGTGATCAATGTTGCAGTTGTGCATTGAAAGCATTGCCTGAAAGGGTGGTCGAGGCCGATTCGATAACAGCTTTTAAACACATGGTGGACGGGTATTTGAGGAGGACGGGTTTGCACGGTTATGGGGAAAGGGCTGGGGAGTGGGATTGACATTACATTGCTCTTTTCAAAGAGCCGGCACAGACTTGATGGGCCGAATGGCCTCTTTTTGTGCTGCACGATTCTATGATAACCATGTGATGTAATGGTGAAACATTGTGCGACAAGCAATCACTTATACATCACAGAACAGAACCTCATATCTGCACAAAGCCACGGAGTCGTGTAGCGTAGTGGTGAATGCGCTCACCTCACAAGCGAGAGGACCCGGGTTCAGTTCCTGGGCAGGGCGAAACATTTGGCAAATTTCCTTACTCCACATGCCTCTGTTCACCAAGCAGTAAGTAGAAATCCGGTTGTTCGTCGACTGGCAGATCGCTTTCCGGGGTTAATAATCCCTCCAAAAAAAATGTTTCACTCAATCCATGACTGTTTGTGGGACACTGTGGTGCTCAATTGGCTGCTGTGTTTTGCCCACAAAATATATGCAGTAAATTCACTTCAAAATATGTTCTTTGAGATGTCTGAATGACGTGATAATAAGATGCTATATCAAATGCAAGGATTATTATTATATTGTTATAACAATGGCTACGGCATCAATATGGATATGAAAACAGTGCTGGTAGGTTTCAGTGTGTTGAAATATTTGGATGTACTATTGGAAAAGAGAAGGACTTCCTCCTAGTTCATTTGAGATGAGTTGAAATTAGTTTGTAGATACAAGGAAATCAAAAGCAAACATCATCTTACTGTTCTTGTTTTAAAGATATACTATACGTTCACCAATAAAATACCCAAGTACAGCACTTCACAAAATGCAGTCACTACATTTTACAATATATGGAGTCAGTACATTTCACAGTACACACAGTCACTACACTTTATAATATACACATTCACTACACTTTACCAATAGGCCCAGTCACTGCACTTTACAATATATGCAGTCACTACGATTTACAATATACCATAAATGCTGTGAAGTGCTTTGAGACATCCTCACAGCGTGAAAGGTACTTTGTCAAATACAATGCAATTTACATTTATATGAATCTGAGGGCTCTGTCCTTGGTCCCCTCCTCTTCAATATCTATATGCTCCTTCTTGGTAACATCTTCCACAGACATGGGGTCAACTCCCATATGTATGCGGATGACACCCAACTCTACCTCCACTCTTGACTCCAGGACCACTGCTGTCCTGACACAATGTCTGTCAGACATCAAGTCCTGGATGAGAACTAACTTTCTTCAGTTGAACGTCAACAAGACTGAGGCTCTCCTGATTGGCTCCCGTCAGCGCCTCCACACCTCAGGCACTGACAGCATCACCATCCATGGTTGCACACTCCACCTTACTAAGCCAGTCCAGAACCTTGGGGTCTTCTTTGACCCTTAACTATCCTTTCTACCCCACTTCCATGCCATGATGCACTCTGACTTCCCCCACCTCCGCAACATCGCCCGCTCCGCCATTGTCTCACACCGCAGGCCACCGAATCCCTCACTCACACCTTCATAACATCAAGGCTTGACTATGCAAACTACTTGTTTGTCGGCCTCCTCAATGCGGGGTGGCCCTTCTGCCCCTCTGCCCCCACCCTCTGGAACTCCATCCTGCAGTCCCACCGCCTCGCTCCCTCCTTTGCCTCCTTCAAGATCCATCTCAAGACACTCCTCTTCGACCATGCTTTTGATCACCCTGCTTCCCCCCCTGTCCTCTACCCTCCCCAATCCCAAAGCCCAGCTCGGGTCCGAAACACTGACTGTCTAGCACCTTGGGACGTCCTCCCGACGTGAATGGAGCTATGCAAATGTAATTTAGTTTTTGTTTTCACGTTTCAAAGTCAAGGACGGGGTGTAGTTGAAAATTGTGTGGGGGGAGGGAAAGATGACCGAATGTGCAGTCAAAGAAGTAAGTTAAGTAAATGTCAGGATTATTATTTAGTGTTATTATTATTACGTGCCCTGTAAGGAGATGGTGCTGAGGAGCTCTCCTCTATCCATCAATACTGACCTTTTCCCCAACCGATCAAAGCAAGCTATATAACACAAAAAGTCAATTTGGGGTTTGGCATTTTGCTGCACTTTACTAATAGCATGTTAATGAATTGCAAAATCGTACTTTCTTTGGAAACAAAACAAAAGTTTGCCAGGTTTCTTTTGATCAGCTGGGTGTCTGAACCATGCGGAAACCCATCACCATATTTAACAGTATCCACACCAGACTGAGAGATAAGTATATCACTTACACATGGAAATGTCCCTCTTTCTGGAATGGAACATGCACTCTCATCCTCGAAGGCTCACCCTCCTTACATATTCCCAGAGACTATACGGTGAAGGTTGGTGAGACCCAAGGCTTAGGGACCCTAGAGTGTGTGTTGGGATGTTGTTTGGAGTTTAACCAGCTAAAACGGCATTGGTACCATTGAGGGCGTTGTCTGGCAAGCTTTCCCACGGCCAGCTAGGATCGCCCTACCAGTTAGGACTTTGTCTTTCAGGGTTAACAGGAGCTGGTGGGAAGAAACCCTGATGACAGTGACTGATCTGCTTCTGATGAACCAGGCTGTCACCAGCAGTGTTATGAGTTCTGAATACTATGGACCCGCTGGCTCAGGAACCAGACTACCGTTATCGCCACAGAGGGTTGATTTGATTCCATCATTCCATTGCCAAGCACGTCACCATGTGCCCAGCTCACCTTGGTAACCGTGGAATACAATAAAACTAGTGTCAAATTACCAAAAAGCCACAGACTGCAAATTGGTCACTCACTCCATGGCTGTCTGCGGGACACTGCTGAACGCAACTTGCTGCCATGTTTCGCCCACAGAATACGCAATCAATCCACCTTACAGCACTTTCCTGTGAAGTGCTTTGAAACATCATAATGATTGAAAAGGCGCTCTATCAAATGCAAGTATTATAATTTATTGTTATATTAAGAGAGAGCGATTTCCAAATAAGAAACTAGGCTAAAATGAAAGCCAAGAATTGAATCTGTGAGGAAATAAACCAGAAATGAAATCAAAGACCCAGTCGGACACAAAAAAAGTCAAAGAAACAGTGTTAAACCTGCGAAAACCCATTAACATTTTATGTAAGTGTGATAATCTTGTTCAGTTTTAAGGCGCAGTATCCATTTTTTCCAATCTGTCAATTTCTGGCTGTGAATTAAAGGTCAGTCAGCCAGTGATGATGCCTTTCTAATTTGAGAGACTGATGTCTGGATTGGGAAACTGAGATCAGAATCAAGAGCCTATTGTTTACACCGTGTGTTTGGCCACAGAGAAGGTGTACACTCCTCACGTAACCCTATGGTAACCTGAGATCACAGACAGCGATGCCCTGACACCAATTCACCAGTGAATATCCGGTTCACGTTGGCATTCATTGATGCAACAAACCTAATATCAAACTGTCAAGAAGCCAGCGATGCTGACTTGTCACCTTGAGTCAGGAAAGAATTTGATAACATTAGTAAGAATCATGCTCTTTCCATTCGTCAAAAAACACCTTTCACGTCAGGAGGACGTTTCAAAGCGCTTCACGGGATTTACTGTAATACGCAGTGACTGTATTTTGTAGCTGACCTCGGCAGCCACTTTGCGCACAGCAATGTCCCACAAGCGACAATAAAGAGAATGGCCAATTTTATCTGAAAGATTTCTGGCCAGCACACAGGGTGAAACGTCTTTCTCTTTTCGAATAGTGCCCCGTGGGATCTTTAACATCCACTTGAATAGATGTTGGTTTAATGTCCCGTTGGAGTATCATCTTAGATCATATGAGTTCTAAGCCCCAATCTGACATCTGGGTCAAGAGTACTGTTCAAACGGATAACTAGACAAATGCACGGGCAACAACAAAGACACACAAAGGAATGTGGAAGGGAAAGAGCTTGATAGGGAGAAATAATAATATGGTTAGTATTAATAATAATACTTGCATTTGGTGTAGCGCCTTTCAGGTTAAGAGGATGTCTCAAATGCGCTTTACAAGATTCACTGTAAAGTGGAGTGAGTTTATTTTTGTGAATAAACGAGGCAGGCAATTCGCACACACCAATATGCATATAATGGCACAGACACAATCGGGGCAAATTTGTTCTCTTTGTTCAAAAAAGCATGAGGTGGGGCTTTGGTATAGAGCAAAGCTTAGTGAGAGAGAGATGTGTGGCGTTGTCTTCTATCTGTGCAAGTCCAAACAGCAGAATGAATCACAGGGGACCTGGTTCCTCCTGGCATTCAGTTGTTATATTTATACCAGAAGCATATTTCTGTCATGATTTTAATTAATGGACTGTCCACTCTGGGGATCGCTCAGGCATATAGCAGTCTGAGAAGATGCCCCCCAGTGTCAGGTGGAGACTCCTCTTACAGCACGTGACCAGTAATAGCTCATGGTGGCCAGCCAAGGATTCACATTTGGTGTGAGCACTTTTCTTTCTTTCTTTTTCTCTCTCTCTCAGAAAGAGAAACAAACGAATTATATTGCTGGACATCTATTCCACTGTAGCTTTTGGCCCACAAGATATAGTCAGTCCACTTCACAGTGTATTCTGTGAAGCGCTTTGAGACGTCTCGAAGACATGATAAGTCGCTATATCAAATGCAAGGATTATTATTATACAAATACATAAATGTACACGTGCATGCATA